TGATCATTAACTGGACACGAATTAGCACCTCATGGAAAACCTAAATCTTGACTTTAATAGTATGAATCAATTGCAACAGAGAAAGAACTCAATTTCCTAATAAACACTATATATCAGTGACTGCAAAGCTGACACATACACAGCTGATTTCAGGTAACACACTACTGTGTTAAATATTTCATTATAAATTCCCAAACATTCCCAAACAAAATTCATGTTTAAATGATCCCTTAGCTGTAAGCCAATGTCAAAAATGGTGAAAGAATCCACTATTTACTTTTAACTGAGGTTTTATTTTGGAAAAGGCAACATTCCTCATTTGGAGGCTCCCAACTGCAATAAAGTCTCCTCCAAGTCTGATTTTCGCTTTGCTTTTAGAAGTGTTACTACACCTATTATAGGTCAACTTTTTTTTTTTTGTAAATTACAAACTGCATTATGCATGTCACACCTGTATACATAATTTCTTAATTCCTCCATATAGCTTAATTACTGATAAATAATTTTTTTTAAATCAAGGGTTCATTTAGTACCTGTGGAGAATGTTAGAGACTCAGAAACTCTGCTGAGACCCTGTTTACTGAATACACTTCACACAGAACCAAGATGCAAGGGATACAGCAAGCTCTCCTTGGAACAGTTACCCAGCCTTTTCAAAAACACCATCTCTATGGAAAGCAGTCAACTCCTATTGCAATTTATTACTTGCCTACTTGATGGACACTACCACCACAGATAACTCGCTAGCAAGTGCAGAATTTCTTTTATGCAATACAGAGAAAATGGAAGAGTGAATTCTACTTCAAGCAAGAGGTAGTAAAGCTAACAGGCTCCACATCTCCCTGTCATTCTTATAAACCATGTAAATACTGATACAGAGGAAACTTTTGAAAAAAATCGTATTACCACACTGTTTTACTTTTGAATAACCATGTTTTACACAAGATGTTCCAGTATTATCGCAGCCTTTGTTGCCATGTATGTGCAGTTAAGCACATATGTATGGACCACAGCCTACTTTCAATTCTCCAGCATTAAAGAAACATGCTCCATTACTTAACCAAGAATTTTATCCAGTTTTGATTGTATCAAGCTGTATAACCCATCCGGTGAAAGTGAATGAAACCTTTAGGATACCTTCCTATAGAACATCTCATTACATCCACAAAGTCTCAGAAGAAAGTCACTTGGGCCAAAATTAAAAAAAAATAAAAATAAGCTCCATCTTCAAGTTCTAACACACACAAACACAAAATACCCTTCCTTACACCCTTTTTTCCCCCTATGGATTTTTACTGGCATCATAATATTCTTCTGCAAGCAGATCTGTGGGGCTGATTCCTAAGTATTAATTTTGAAAGATCATATCAAAACAAAATATGGGTACTAATTACAACATGATGGCAACGTAACGTAAAAAGTAACTACGACATTTAGCCTCCCATGAAATATGCACATTCCTCCTACACGAAAAACAAAGTCACAACGTTTCACATTAAAGAAGCAACAAAAAGATGTACAAGTTATCATTTTTAAAGAAACTCTTCAGCAAATGTAGGCAGCTGAGGAGTATGTAACTGCCCTCTTTGATTTATGATCATTTTCTTTATCCTGAAAGTAGTTAATTTGATACATAGACTTTAAGTAATAAGCAGGTTTAACCTAGTGTATGTTTCATTTGCATCTAGATCACCAACTTTAGGAAACACAAAATGTGTGTTTACAAATGAGAGACTTCAAACAGTGACTTGCTTATCAAGCTTCATTAGCGCGCTCTATGAGTTAACTCAAATGGTGTACCTGAGTGGAGTTAGATAGTTGGTTTTTCCACGGCTCCTCTGCGCTGCTGGTCAGGTTTGTGCGGTTATGAGGTAGAGAGAGTGCGTTTCGCTGCAGGTAAGGCACGTTTCCATTACTTCCACTTTCTGTTATGTGATTATTGCCTATCAAAATAGTGTCTGTACTACCCAGCGTTCTTGCTGTGCTGCAGGGAATGGGGCCTGCTGGAAAGGGTCCATTAGCCATAGGCTGCCCTGGGCAGGCGGGACGGATTCCACGCTGAGCGACATTAGGCACTCTGGTTAGAGCAACCTGCGGCTGCTGACCAGAGACAGAGTTTGTAGGCAGTGATGAATCAGCTGTTGGCCCATTAGGAATTCCAGTAGATCGTACCTGTGCAACTCCTGTTTGTCTCATCTAGTGGAAGATGAACAAAGCACAAGAACGTTAGCTGCAGAATTCAGAAAGTAAAGATCGTACAAGGTCTGTGCACTTTATTGCACTTGTCAACTCCAATCTTATACTGATTTTAAGATCTTCACAGTTGCTTTTGAGAAATAAGATGACTGTCATGCTCACAAATGCACAGAGCGAATATGAACATAAAGCTATCAGTACACTTTTATTCTAGGCCCTCCAGTTTGAGTATTAGTCTTTTACTGCTAGAAGTTGGATACTAAGAGAGAGAGAGGTTAACAATGACAGGAGGAGAGATGTAATATGGCTTACTGTAACTAAGGATTTTTCAACTAAGACTGCTTTCAGATGCGTCCACTCACTTTAGTTTCAAAGTGTGACTTGAAAACTTTTACATTATCTGATAGCCCTATAATAAAACACAGCTAAACCTGTTACGTTTCAACCAGTAAACCATAATTATACAAAAACCTGACTTAACGAAACATAGTAAAGGGCATGAGAACTCTGAACTCTGTACAATAAAAATTCTTCAGAATTCAAGAAACACAACAGACACTGTTACTGACAAAAGTTTTGTAGGAGAAAAATATTTTTGTTCTCACCTGCTGGTGTTGCTGCATCAAGACAAACTGACTCTCCAGCTGTTCCAGCATAAGTTTCTGTGCTGGATTTAGATTATTTCGGTTTGCACGCAGCTGTTCCAAGTGCTAAAAAACAGCAGTACGGTTCAGAAACATTAAAATTGCACGTGTTTCTTAATAACTTTCTTGCCTACAATACTAAAACTTATCCATGAAGACAAGACTTGTAAAGCTGAAAACATGACTGAGATTTCTGTTGCAGAAAAGTATCTGTCCATACACTGTTATGTAACCAAACTTTATTACTATTTACTAAAACTAAAGACACTTTCTAAATTATTTGACTGTATAAATATTATCATCATACTAAAATTAAGTGTGCTGGTACTGTAAAAGAAAACCACATTCCACTATGATTATATAGAATTTTTATTATCATTATGTATGTTTTAACACTTTTTGTACTATGCTATTCTTTTATTAGTACTATCCAGCACAAAGCAAATTCAACCTTAAGTCACATGTTAAAACTTCCCCAGGAAATATAAAAAAACAAACCCAGAAAATCATACAGAGAACAATATATTACATTCTGATACTGAGCTCCTTTGCAACTGATAAAACTACCAAAAAAATCTCATCTTTATCCATCTTAATCTACTCAACACACACCATCATTCTACCAGCAAGCCAGCTGCTCTTGAGCGACATGGCATAAGTGCTGAAATTGTGGAACACAAAAGCACTATCTGAGAAGGGGGGATGCGTGGAGAGGAGGGCAAAAGTTGTGGTATGCAAAAGATGACAAAGAGACATTTTTCTTGATTGTTTTTAATACTAAGCTACTTCACTTCATTTTAAATAAATCCTTTAAAAAAAAAAAAAAACAACAACAAACCCAAAACCACAAAAAAACCATACCAAACCAAACCCTAAAAAAACCCAAACCAAACCTCACCAAAACCAAACACAAATCAGGTTTCTTTTAGTTCCTTTCAGATATGGATGTATTATTTTTCTACATCCTCCTCCTCTCCTTTGCTTTAATTATGCTGTATTAGTAATACATAAATGGAACTGAAGTATGAGCATTAAATGAAGTGTAGTTCATCCTGCTTTGAACAATTGCATTTGCAAACTATCAATTCAAAGAAAATGGCCAACATTGTCTGAAAAAGTGGTTAAAGATGGTTCACACCAAACTCCCTGGATCAACAGTAGCTTCCATTCTGAAGTCTGTTTTCTGTGGGGGACTGCAATAAATAAGACTTATCTATCTATGCTTATGAGATGAAAACTGGGTCACCATGGGAGTGCATGCACCAGGTACACAGAAGCCAAAACCAGTGCCCTTCGGTTGTCATTTTGCTTTTTAAAAAACGCCTAAATAGGGTAAGAGGAATCAGAAAGACTGACTTAGCACATATTTCAGCAGAGGCACGTCTGCGCTGCTTTCCAGCGCAATGGGTGCAGAGGCTTTGTGGGCAGCACTGTTCTTGCTGCCCACCAGTTCTGCAAAACCAACACTCATCCCTCCCTCCCCTGCCATGCTGCAGCCCCAGCTGTGTGGCCATGGCCCTTTCCCCTTCTGCTTTTGTTAGCTGAGCTACTTGGTGTGTGTTCCTGTCCTGGTTTGAGGTAAACAGAACCCATTTTCTTTTTGGTAATTTTACCATAACTATCCAGGCTCTGAGCTACCACTTTTAAAAGGCTGACTTAGCAGACAGAATACAGATTTTATTCACCCTCATCTTGCATCATATCTTTTTGGCTTTCCTATTCATATATGCTGGAACCTTGTCGAGCTATTGCCAGCAAATCCAGTGTATTGTACTTAGAGAAGATAGAGAAGCCTACTTAGATACTGCTTAGAGGATGAAGTTGGATCTGGAAACAGGTGAAACTAAAAAGGGGGGAAAGTAGCAGGATATAAAATAAGCAGAGAGAAATAATGAGAATGCATGAAGAGAGAAATATAGAAGAGTGATTAGGGAGGACCAAGTAATAAAGCCAATATTGTTCAGATAGAGAAACAGCTAAAAAACAGTATTAGAGCTGAGGAGAATAGTGCTCAGTCAGTCAGAATCCCTTCTGTCTCAACACTATGTTCCCTTCTATTTTTCCTTGCATCCAAAGCAGTATCTGTGATACATGGGTAAGTTTCCAGCAAGGCCTGATTGTCAAAATACGGAATTCCTGCTGAAGCTCACTACAAGCCCTAATGAGCTGAAGAGACAACAAACCATTGTAACAAGGAGGACCTGAAACAAGATTTCAAAAATAAAATCTAGCATTTCACATAAATGTATTAGCTGACATAAAATATAGAAAAGCAGTACCAGGTTTCATTCGAATATCTGCATTTTGTAGAATGTGCATGTTTGTTTATGCAATTTGATACAAGAAGCTACCTCAGAGGAAAAAGGAGGTAAAATTACAATACTTATACAATTCCTTCAATATCCCCCACACCATAGCAAGCAGCAAAATTTATCTGGCAGACAAGTGTGCATATTTGCGTCTCTATCTCTACAACACCGTAAGAAAAAAGAATTACTTTATGTTCTTACTTTATAAATTATAGAATTCATATAAGGTAAGCTTTCAGTTTCTGCTAGAGATCACTTATTTTATCACAGAACTGATCTCACATGGAGACGCCATAAATATTAGCACAACTTGAATTATATTGTGGGAGTTATTTGGGATGTAGTGCACGTTGAATTTTGGAAACGTGGAACCAAAAAACATTCCAGATTTATTTTCTTAAAAGGAAGAAAGAAAGAAACAAGAAATATACAAAGCTTCTAGAGATCTTCAACATACCTACCTGTAATTTCTGTGGTGTCAAGCACCAAGAATGAATTTGTTGCTGTACAGGAGGGTGTGACACTGTATGGCCACTGCTCCAAACATCTGAAGTATTCTGAGAGAGAACATTACATTAAAATGTGTGACTATCAAAGGGTCAGAATTATTCCTTTTACTATCTAGATTTTACCGTACTTATAAAAGGACTAGTCATTGTTTCAAGAAGAACAATATAAACAAGTAACATACTTAAAACATGCCAAGTCTCATTCTACCATTCCCATAGTATCAGAGTAGCCAGAGGAAAAACTTAAATAGTATCTAACATCATAACAAGAAACAATCAAATCAAATTATGCAATTAACTAAAATGTACACTACTTTTAAAACTGAATACTTTATCTATTGTAACACTATTACATGATGATGAAACACTTGAATTTTAAATATAAGCAAAGGCAATAGACAGGATGACATGATCGTCTCCCTCTCTATCTATCATCGGACTATGATTGTACTTTTTCACTTATACAACTGTGATTGCAGTATAGTGCCACCAATCTGTGTTGCCCATACGCACTGCCTGTCTGAACCGTAACCTCACTAAACACACCACTGAAAAATGTTTTTTAAAGTTTCTAAAAACATTCCCCACCTTGATGCCAAAGGATTAAAATTTACAGCACAAATTCTGTGCATGCTGCATCATTTTAATGCATATCTCCATATAATTTTGGTAGGGGGCTCTTTAGTTCATCATAATATATACCTTTGTTGGACTAGATGTTCTTTTCCTCTTGGCAGGACTGGTCAGGTCATCTACTTGGCTAGAAGGAATCATGTGTAGTGGCAAGGATTGCTGTGAAATTGGTGTTTGAGTGAGGCCTAGTACAGGTTCAGTATTTGGATGATGAGGTTTACAAGCCTAAGAATCACAGAAGGAAGACAAAAATATGGTTCTATATATTCTTAATTCTTTCCTTTAAATTATATATTTTAACAGCCCACATATATTAAAAGGGCTGAGTAGATATTCTGAAGCTGATCTCAATAACTGAAAAATCAGTTTCCATATGGTCATCAATGGAGGAATGTGTACCTTTCATGGGATTATTAAACCACTGCAGCATTTCTATTTAAGATGAAATCTTTTAAAATCATGAAAATCCACAAAGGTTCTAAATTGGTACCCCCATATTTCTCCCATATTATGGGGAGCTTCTTGATCTAATATCCCTTCGCAAACAAATCAAAGGCTTGTTATTAATGAAAGCCAGTCCTGTGCTCAATAAAATAAGCTTGACCGCTACCGATTGTAAAGAACCCTTAAAGCTGGGCACCTGCAGAACATAACCCAACTTCTCACCTGCTGTGCTGTGTTCATGGCACCCTGCCTGGAGGTAAGCTCTGCGGGGATTGGTAGGCTCCATGCCTCCTCAATACTAGGAAGTAATTTAGTTTTATTCTGTAGACTACCTTGTGGAAGGTTACACAACTGAGCCTAGGAAAAATTATGTAAAAAGCAAATTTAACACAAGCCTACTTTAGTAAGAGCAAGTCCATGAAATCTTCCTAAATGCTGTAGCTAATTACGTCTTAAAGAGAGGATAGATTTAAAATTTGGGGTTTTAGAAAGGTGCTAAGTATAAAGAGGGTAACCAGAATATAAACCTTTGTGAGAATCAGAACAAAGATGAGCTCTGGATTCAGAGGTCTCATAATTCCTTTTTTCTGAAATTGCAAACAAGAGTGAAAGATAGCGTGTGTGCATTCTTTCTATATGTTATGAGAACTTAAAAATGTAGACAATACAAAGAAAAAAGCAAAGTGATGTAAAACAGTATGCTTTGATTAAATGTGCACAATAGGGTTTATAAGGAATTAAGTTCCACTTAAAAATGAAGAAATCAAATATTACAGGCTATGATATGTTTACGATACATATGAAAACAGGTTATACACATCACAAACAATTGCACATTAAAACTTGTGTGCTACTTCTCCCCTCCCCTCTGCTCTGCATTTGGAAGAGTATTTCCCGCTTCTTAAAATGTTAGTTTTACCTGTAAATACTTTATCCGTGCTGCAAGCGCAGAGGTATTACTACAATTTTTGCTCCTAGTTGCATTTAAATAGCATTTAATGGCATCCTGAGGCTGGTTGCAGGACTCATAGAGTGTGCCTAGGTCCATCCAGGCTGCAGCATGGCCATGGTCCAATTGTACAGCACAGATATAGGCCTGTAAAGCATCCATAGGCTGATTTTGCTGTTGATACAGCACACTGAATAGAAAGATTAGTGAAATTGAGAATTAATAACAAAGTCAAAATACAAACAAGTCAAATATACACCCACCCAAACCCCTTAATAAACTTTGCTATTATATAAACCACAGTAATAAGCACATACAACAAATAAAATCTTAACATGCAAAGTTCACATACATAGCACATTCAGTATTTTAAAAAAATTGAGAAAGCAAATTTAAATTTATTATTTAAACTTCAAATCAGACAAGTCTGACAACATGAAGGTATAAATAAAAAAGCTTTAAGGTCCCCTTGAGACCACAAAAGACTTAAAAAGCATATATTCTTTATTTACGTATATTAGCATTGATTTATATCACTGTATTGCCCTATATCATTCTTACCCTATAGAACACCATGTATCTGCACTTGCTTCTGATTTATCAATAGATTGCCTATAAGATATAAAGGCATCCTGAACTTTCCCAATACTTGAATAGCACCTGGGAGGAAAGAAAAAAAAAGAATTTTGGTAATATTTTTAGAAGGTAATTGTTGAGGATGGTTTACCAAGACAGATATGATAAATGCTTTGTCATACAAATACATACTCATCTAGATCAATCTAAAACATTTGCTGCTGATGAACACCAGGCCTAAGCGGACTCTTAATATCTTAATCACATGTATTACTAATCATTTATTTGAAAAGTACAACAAAACTGCTTAAACCCCAGCTTACTGTATTTGTAAGAAAGAGTCACAACATATTCTAAAGACTTACATTTCTTTCATTTAGTGATAAGTTACCACAAATAAGTACAATATTTACAATATTTATATACAGACAGCATTATAAAGAAACAAGTTACCTATTTTATCAAACACATGGTTATGAAGCCTCACATTCTACGAGAAAAGTTTCAGAATTATTAAGAAATACTGACTAACTCAATCAGGATGGTTCTTGACTGCCTAGGAAGCTTTTTACGTGCATTTCTCACATCTCAGTAACATTTCAAATAATGAACAACAAAACACTAAGTTTTAGTCCATATATAGAGCATAAATTTTTGTAAAAATCTTGCTGGTTTGGATTTTTTTGTAATTTCTTACCTGAGTATTTTTCACATACAAATTCAAACATATTCTGGCATTATAAGCAGAAATACCAGAACTCTAAAGAGAACTACAGTTATATCACAGGGAATAGTACCTACCTTTTTAAAATTAAAAGCTTTAAATAAATACAGTATTAAAAATATAAGTGCATTTACTAGTTTAATCTACAACAGCTCTGCTTTTTATATTGTTTGTAGTAAGCTTCCCTGTTGGAAGAAGAACTGGTAACTTTCAAAACACATAAATGACATCAGAAAATTTATTCTAGTAGAAAATAAAACCCAAGCAGAACAGTACAGGAACAGTACAGTCTTTCATGTATTCTTGAGGCACACTAGGAAAGGAATACAATAAAATCTAGCAGTACTTTGCCTGTAAGCATCCATTAAGGTCTGAATACAATGTTTCAGAAGATCATTTTAATCACAATCTAACCCAATTTCCAATAGACACATTTCAATCTGTCTGCTTATCAGATACATGAAGACTCTGGTTAGGATAGCACTAACATCAAGCACCCAGCAGAAAAACAAGATTCTTCAGTGGGGAGGAGAAGTGTGGTGGTGCTATCCAGTTTGGACAACCATCAGAGGAAGGAGTAACACAAGGGAATACATGAGGAGGGAAGAATAAGGAAGAGCAAATGCACAACCCTGTTCATTTCTTCTTCTGCCAGTGTATGGACTGGAAGAATGGGGTACAGAAACATTTTTGCTCTACTCCTCCATGTAAAGTCTAAAAGATGCTTCCATTAGATTTGCTCCACTCCTTTCCTGCATTTCTCCCTCTTGTTTGTATGGTCCTAGGTTTCACTCTAACCACATTAAAGCCGTGGCACCAGAGAAGCATGAGTATGACAACTGGGCACGGAAACTTCATAGAGCCCTGGCTGCGTCCTGCTGCTGTGTAAGAACTCAACTAGCTAAAGGCACACGCCAGGGGACTACCAAGCTAAAACAGGATTTTAGCCCAGCAGATGATAAGATGATCGCTGGTTCCTTTTCCCTCCACACCTGCTCTAGCCCCTCTGCCCCTCACACTGAGTGCCGGTGTTTGGCCCTCAGCCTGCAGACAGCTGGTCAAAGAGCCCTGTCTTACAAAAAACAGCTGGAGGAATATAATTAGGATGACAAAACCAAAAGTGGGTTCCTGTTGTATGTCACCAGAACTTCCAAGCAAGTCAGCTGGAAGATACTGAGGTTAGGATATTCATTTTATTTTGCGTAATTCATTTCTAATGTATTTCTCAACAGGACTGACCTGTTCACATATGGATTTGAACTGCCCTCAAAGCTGTCTCCAAAACCTGATTATTTCAAGAGTTACTGCTGGTTTTCATAAAGTACTCTGTTTTCTTATAAAGGAGACCAAGAAGAGCCATTGAATTTACCTGATCTATATCTTGGAATAAGTTAGTTTTCAAGTAACAAATACAGTCTGATAGTACAGCATTAATACAACACTTAAATAGATATTATAATGAATTAATCTGAGCTATCTTGGCCTAATACTGAGTTGCAATATACACTGTTTATAAATGGACGTATACCTGGGAAAATATTTGTATTTTAGTGCAAAAAACTGATTGAAATTAGAAGAATTCTGAGAAAATAAAGAGATAAACGAACTATGAAAAAGGTATGAAGAAAAGTAACGAAATTTACAAAGAATTTACAAAAAAAAAAAACCAAGAAAAAAAAAGAGAACAGAAGGTGTGGTAGGAGGAGGAGGAACAGGTAAAACCGGGCAGGGCAGACTCAGATTACTGTAAATGTGTAGACTGAATAATAACTCCAAAAAAAGCGGGACCACCTGTGTAACATACTTCATTACTTCATTTTAACTTCATTTTAACTTCTAATCTATATTCATCCCAAATATGTTAGCACCTTGTCTTTTTATACACTTTCCAGAAAACTAGTCTTCAGCAGATACATACATCCTTTCCCTTCTTTTTTCCTCTGAAACTACGAAGAAAAACAATGTAAGATACTCACAATAATGAGTATCCTCAATAAATTTACAAATATAGTTACAGTGTCTATAAAGTCATTTCTTACCTTCCAAGGAAATACCAGGATTGACCAGAATTTGGATCTGCTTCTAGAGATTTCTGGAGATACTGTATAGCATAGCTTTCCTTGGTTGCCTTGTCTCCAAGCTGATCCACGGTGTGATGCATCCAGCCTACAAAAAGAACCCATAAATGGCAGAAGTGAAATTCCCAAAGACCATTTAATATTTGGCACAGCAGGATATTCATAACATTAGTTCCTCTTTAAAAATAGGAATATCAAACAATAATATCACTTACAGATAATTTTACGAATTAAACTTTTAAACATTTTTAAAGTTCTATACAAAAATTACAGGTCAAAATGACCATAAATCAAAATTGCTTTCAGGTACTTTTAAGCATTTTTTTTTGTTTAAATAATTTTCTACAAGGTTAGTACCACAATTTCAAACGGCTCGATATTCTACTATAAAATGTTAATCTGAAAATGTTAACTCTTTCCTCCTCTGAACACAGAAATCTTCCCTGTCACTGTGAAAAACGCCACCAACCTCCCTGTATACACATCCAGTATCTGTATATTATGTTCAGTTTACGCCTTTTCTAAATCCTTGAATTTATCCCATATCTATATTTGGACAATTCCCCAACAGAACTTCAGTAAGAATTTTTGTATCTCCACTTAAATCTTTCTTACATTGTCATTCCATCTCCATTGCTACAACATCCTTTCCGTTCACCTTGACAAACTCACTTTGCATCTACGTAACAAATTCTGCTGAAAAGACAATTTTATTCCTCATGTAACCACATAACATATTAATTCATGCCTTTTTTTTGTTTCATGAGACAAATTATTCATCCCCACTTTAATGGCCTCCCCGAATCCATGCTCCCATTTAATCTTTTCCATACTATTAAAACACATCTTTGCTCTAGCACTGATGCAAGCCTTAGCTACCATTTCAAATAAAGCACCTTCATCATCTCCTCAAGCTGCTCCTCATCTATCTTTATGCTTAGATGGTATTCCTTTAAGCAGCCACACAATCATCTCACTGCCATTAACATCATGAGTACAAGGAAATCCTTTGTAGCAGGCAGCTGGCTTGCTGAAATCACTACATACCACACTGGTCAACAATGTCTTGCTGTTTGTTTAATCTCCATGTATTTGTCTTAACAATTCACTGCTTTTCAGCCAACATTTGTAAAACCTCAGATGTGACAACAGGATTGTCCCTATGTTTTTACAGTGCCCCACCAATAAATGGTCCTTTGTGGAACACTATCATACCAATTTCATAAAATACCCAAGGTTTGTATAAAGTTTTAGTTACCTATAGAGTTGTAGACTAAATGCTGCTGCTCTAAATGTTCATTTAAAACCTTCATCAGCTAAACTTCAGCACCCGAAGCTTATCCTTTCCAATATAATCTAGTTAGACATGTAGTTACGTGAACAGGTAATACTAACTCAAAAGATCCGAATCAGATTCTGATCTCATCTGAAATGCTAGACAAAGTAGATAAGGCTGAGAACTGAATTGATGGGTATTTGCAGCCTTACTTCTCTCTCTGTAATTAGACAATACCTTATGTATTTTACTCTGTCTGTTCTATACAGCTTATTTTTTCTTCCATGGACTTATCATTTGTTAACAGTCACAGTGACACTTTCGCAAATGAAGGGTAAACTTCCAATCTTTAAAAAAGGCAGTCTAAAAGAAAATTGTATCTATTTATCAACATTTGCCTAAGGTGTTTTAAGAAGTATGACTTAGAAACTGTGGTCAGAAGCAGAAGTCTGACTATTTCCTGGGCTGCGAGAAATGTCAGGTTAGGAGCCAAGTGGTTACTTAGGAGTCAAGTGGTTACAGTGCTGAAAAAAAGAGTGCTTTATCTTCTCTGAAGATGGACCAAGACAAAACCCTACCCATCAGGGAAAAAAAAAAAAAAGGAACAAAAAACTCAATTATTTTTGCAGAGATATTTAACATACACAACTTTCTCTCATGGACTTCATAAACAAGCTATGATTTTGATTCAAATCCAAGTTACTGAAGTTCTTAAGCATACAGAAAATGCCCATGCTTTAAGAAAAAAAGGCTTATGTGAAGGTGGTTATCAGAATGCACCTGCATAACTGTACATTAAGGGTAATGGTACTGGGTGCAGTTGTCAGGCAAAGCCTGAGATAAAGGTAAAGGTTCAGGGATTATAAACAAGGCTAAAAAAAGACATGAAACAACTTCCTGAATCTTTGGAAATGTTCTGTGGTGATGCCTATTTCCTTGTTTCATCAGACCCTTGCAGGACTGAAAGATAACATGTATCTTCAGGAGATCTTTACCAAGATTCACTGATAAAAAGAAATAATGTACTTCTAGGAGACAGAAACGAGAACTAGCAATCTCTATCTAGTTTTGCTGCTGAAACAAGGGTTGCTTCCCCATTTTATCTTCCTGTGCAGGGAGGTAAAAAGGGCAGAAAGCAAGACAGAGGCTGAGGGAGAACAGCCGTAAGTTTTCTATTAAAATAGCACAGGTAAAGGAAGCTGGATGTCTCTTCTCCTCATGCATAAAACAACGTTCAGAAAAAAGGTGATGGAAAGACCCTGGTAAGCTGTGCCATTGCCCATTTGCAAGGCCTGACCCAAATTCTCAACTAGCACAGTGACTACTCTTTCACTCCTGGGGCATTTTTAGCATAATAAACAAAAATACAGATTCTGCCCATACTTCACAGATGTCCCACGGTCTGTTCCAGGTCTTTACAATACAATTTGTAACAAATTCCCATGTTGCTTCAGGAAGAGGATGTGCTAGCCCAGCTTATGCCGCAGATTTTTTTATGCTGATCAATCACTCTCATGCTGAACTTGTGGCAATTGCTTTTTCCCCAAAAAACTTCATCTCAGTCTCTGAAGAGATGAGCCTCTTTAGCATCTCCTGAGGTCTCATGCAATTTCTGGACATCACCTAGGGACGCCCCTAGCCAAAAAACATTGGGAGAATGCTTTGGGAACCTCTATGCAGATGCTTACGTTGTTCTTACACTCTTCTTTATGCAACTGCTGAGTACAATTGGAGAAAGAAAACTGAGACAGATTTGCTCTTCAGTCTCATTAATTTAATGTAATTTTAGGCAAAGCAGCGAAAAGAATTGTTGTCTGGAAAGCAAATGAAATGGCACAGAATAAGAAACAAACTGCTCTTATCCAAACGATCTTACTGTTACATCTACCTGAACTAGTCAGCATGCATTAGCTCAAATGGGTATGTATTTATCTGAGAATTACAGGGTTCTCCTCCACAGTGACCTGCTTTGGAAACCAGCAACAAGAGCAAAGATTTTAATAATTGTCTCACAAGACATCTGAACTTGCCTAAATTTCAACTCTGGCTCAATACACATTAACTAGCTAAGGAAAATAAACAAAGGGTACTTTCACGTCAAAACGATTTTTCTGTTGGAGTTTAAAACAAAAAGAAGTTCAACACAGAAATACTGGGTTTTGCCAGTAGCATCCTGGCAGATGGCAGGTATTTTCTATTATTTTTTCTAAGCTGCAGTGCACCACCCAGACTACGCTTCCTGAGCTGTTTTTATTACCACCTGCTAGAGACTAAATATGCAATAAGCAATAAGCACCATACTCCAATAAATACCACTGTAACAGCAAGGAGCAAAAGAAATAGTATTATTCCTTGAATGTTCTGTTAAGACCACTCTGACCCTTTCTCCACATAGAAGGTACCCACGCTCCAAAACTAGGTGACCTATGCTGACTAAATAAAGGGAGTTAATCCAGTTTTTAGGCAGCAGATAATTCTCAAAGTCATTGCTCTTATTGCTAGCACAGAGACCTGTGGTAGGGTTTTATGAATACAACGACGAGCCTTTGCTTCTATTGTGGCAACAGACATCAGAGTTGAAAAAGCATTGGTCAGCTATTTTAGGAAGCCTGTCTTCGCTGCTGACAACTTGTACTAGGTGGGATAATACCAAGTTAAAAAAATATTCAAAGGGGATATTGAAATATAAGCAACCCTGTCGTATGACAGCAAAAAGATCAGCACCTAGAGTCCTGCAGTGAACTCCTCCAGCAGTATCATTAGTGATTTCACACAGAATAATCAAAAGCTAAACAAATTAGCCCACTTCAAATCCATACACAACCTGCATTACAAAAAAAAAAAAGCAAGCATTGTGGCCATAGCTTACTGCCAGTTATTAATTTGAATTAAATGACCACTATGTGAAGGCGGGGCGGGGGAAAGAAAAATGGGCATAAGCAGGCTAAATTAATATTTAGAATAATAAATTAGATGAAGAACATGGAGAGAGTGAATGAAGAAGTTTTTTCACTGAGTTGAACAATTTTAACAAAATATTCTGGAAATACTTTTAAGGCATATAGGACAAAAGTAATTTATTCTACCCACTCATTAGAAATTTTCGTCTAAAAATTATTTATCAGCTTTCTATAAATATGGAGGATGGCAGGGTTGTTTTTTTTTTTAAATAATACTATTTCTCTTTTTATGTGATTTCTTTTACGGAATCTGACAATAAACTTTTTTAGTCACAGAAATAGGTTTTTGTTATGTTCTACAATTAAAGAGAAAGAAAAGACAAATTTTTCATTTGCCACGTTCTTCTATTCTGCAACAGAGAAGAGTATTTTGGGTTACTGCATTTAACCTGAGTATTCAAGGGATCTTCTCAGAGGCAGAACAGAGAATACAGAATTCTAACTGCTGCACTCGTTCTCTGAAAGACCACCCTCTCATTGCCCAAAACCTGTAACGCACATACTCTAGCAAGTCTAAGAGCTTTTTAATTTTGTAAGTTTAATTAAAATCTTTTCCTCCTCTCTTATTTACTTAATTATCTACTGTTATGCATTCTATTTTGGGTGAAAATCTCACATATCATAATCAGTGTCTTAGACTCACTTTGGAGCCCTAAAAAACACTGCTGAAGGCGAAGATGGAAAAAAAGAAACACACAGAAAAATAAAAGTTAATTTTACATACCTAACTGCTGTAAGACAGTTGCTTTTACTTGTGCAGGAAGGTTTTCGATCTGCAAAAGCTGTTCATAAGCTTCCTTTGCAGAGTGATACTTTCTCTGCAAAAGGAAAAAAGTAAATGGATTAATCATAAAGCTTACAACAGATCACCAATAGCAACGATTTCACAGCACTGACAGCACACAAACACATTGACAAAAAAATCTAGAACTTTTTTTTTTTGCATACAGTGCATATGAAAGCTTTAATGAGTGACGTATATATATGGTAAGAGAATAACTTTCATAAATATAGTATTTAATATAAATTGGCTACTTAAAGTAATTGAGGGAGATTTGCAAATTATCGAATTTGGTCAACTCCTCATGCATGCATTATGCTCCTTACACTAAAATGAATATACTGCTTTTTAAGGGGAATGCTTGAATGTGAGGCTACATCTGAAAAAAACCAAAAGGAAATTCGTAACAGAAATGAGTATCATTAGTAATTGGTGGCTGGTTTGATTTTGCCTCTCTCTTTCCTTCAGTGTATTTGAACTGCCTTTTCAACATATTTCCTGTCCTGGTAAGAGTCCCATCATAAGTAGAATTAAAACATATCCATGGATTATGCCTGGAAAATAAGGTATGCCATCTTATTATTTGCTATATAGTTTAGGTGTGCCTAAAGCATGGAAACATTCAATTCTTAACTTCTTATATGAACAGGTCCTGATATAGAAAACATCCTTCCAGGTTAGGATAGTGGTTTTTAGTCTTAATTGACTTCTGGAATAGTATCAGCTGTTTTGTATATATTAAAGGAGTAAACTTCTCAATAGATGAATTTTTTTGCGATCATTCAGCATTTATCTTTGTGTTAACCCTAACAATATTTAACAGTTAATGTATCTAAAATTAATTTTTCTGTTCCTCCTCTCCCACAAATGTCTAGAAGATATAAATGTTGAGGGTGTGTTATCAAGAGCACTTTTTTCTTTTTAACATTCTAAAAATTCTGTACAATTTTTAAAGAAAAATATATTTTCAGATAATTCAACATCAGGCTTAATTCTGGCATTTACTTACTAAAATAAATGGGGCCACTTAGATGCAAATGATCAGGCTTAGTTACATTTATTTTATGCAAAGAGTACACAGTATTACTGGTGTTTTAAAAGGGACAACTGAGAAGAAGACTCTAAACAATATAAATATCTATTATAAGTTAAAAATGTTATTAGGTTCTTGAGATCTCACAATCACAAAAGACAACTCTGTTGATTTTAAAACCTTATTCTAGTCAGGAAGAAAAATTAAAGCAGCAATTACATACTTTCAAATGGAACAAGGGGAAGTTGGTAGAAAAGATTTTAAATTGGTGTTCATGAAATGCAGACAACTGGTAAGAAAACAAATAATATAAATAAATAAAATATCCATGTCCAGCAAAATAAAAACAATCAGGAAAAAATTTTAAACCTGGCATTGGGAACAAAAGTTGTAGTTTATGACTATGAGGGATAAGCAAATGAACATAAGTTCACTGTATAGCATGACAGCAGAGGCAGCAATCTGGATGTGAAATAGGTAAACATGCAGAATATTTACACTTTGAAAAAGATGTTTATATGCTTGGGAGCATTCAGAAAGTCCTATTAAAATAGGACTAGATCTAGAACGTTTTTTACTTTTGTTATTTGTTGTATTATTTACCGTTTAGAAATCCGTCTACGTGTATGCCTTAAAATATTACAGAAAACTGTCATGTTTACATTGGGTTTTATTTAGATATGTTAATTGCAAAGATCCAAAATCCTAGATGTTTGGCTGCATCATGGATGGTCTTAGATATGGGAAGAGGGAGGGGAACCCAACACAAGATCTTTCATTAGACACCATAAAAGCTACCATCCTAAATAGTAGAGGGACTCACACTTCCACAGATGTAAGAATACAAACTAGCATTAAACACCACAAAAAAACACTGACTTGTGTCAGCACCAGGCTATTCTCTTCTTCAGAGGCTGGCAACCCACCTTTTAAAATCCAGTAGGGTGAAGATACATAATTAAGGAATGAATTAACTCTTTCATTAACTACTAGACAGTAGATAATTTTCAAATATAGGGAGAGGTTCAGGAAACTGTAGAACTGTGTCCTTTAAAAGAAACCAAGCAACCGATCTGCCTCCAAAAAACACCTCTTTGTTGTGTGAGAGATAATATCCAGAATGAAGTCAAGACCCTAAGTTTCTCAAATTCCAGAGAAGAGGATACCACTCACTACCAGAACGGTGAGACAAACCAAGTCTAACAGCAGAACGCACTGAAATTTTTTGCTCTGAGTTCCATTAAAATAAAGCTCGCCTTGCCTACAATTGTCAGTCAGCAACCACAGCTTAAGCACTTGTAGCTTTGGTCACACAATTATATAAGGCACCTGGCATGGTGACCTGAGGTGTTCGACTTTCTATTTTACTCTAGCAGATCAAAAGAACTAAGGTGCTGAGGATGCTTTGTTACATAAACCTGTCAGACGTGCTCCAGTGCTCAGAACAAAATCTGGACAGTGGCCAGTTAAGAACCATAACAGTCCATGAAGTTCCTTAATGGCGTTTTTTGGGCGGAGGGGTTCTGTCTTCTCATATAGCTCTTGCACAAAAAGCATTCAAAAGAAAAATATCTTGTTTATCAAATTTATAAATTTTATTTATATAAGTACCTAAAGCCATTTTTTACCATGCCATCAAAAGACAGCACTTACTTTAGCAAGCTACTTTTCAACTGACTGAAAATGTAGTTTATCTCTGCCATCCATTTTAATTTCAATAGTTTTTGCTTTCATGTCACATCACTTCCTTAGTCCTATAGTACCTATAAACATGATAAAAGGGCATACAGTCTGCATTATATGACCAGTCAGTCAAATTACAATATGCAATAGCTATTTCAGTAGATACTTGATTTTAATTTACTTATATTCTGGAATTTAATTATATTCTGGTTTTAATTTACTTATGTTTCTGGTAAGCGTTCGTTAATTTCCCAATAGATTCACCTAAAAAACTCTGTGGTAGGGTTTGATATAGAATTAATAACACAGCTTTATATGCTGCTTACCTCAGACCTCAAATGTTTCTGTCACGTATGCTCAGCTAAATTTGAAAACTTCATGTGAAATGTACTTTAAGGCACCTGGGCAGCTGGCTAGACTTGACTCTGTGTTTATGTATGTATGAGAAACAATAGGAATCTATATAAATTGAGAAACTGTGTATTTTTAATATCTATATAAAACTTTTTAAACATATAATCTCATAAAAGAATTTTACTAGAAGATATGTTTAGGGTTTTTTTGCATTCAACTTGGGAGACTAGTAAATACACAAGTTTATTGAAATAGCTACTCCATTTTATAGCATGACAGTCCACATACAAAATACTTTTAATCCAGCCAAAGCAAATAAAGTTTCTTTAGTGATTTGAGACATAATCCTAACTTCACAAAAGCATGTATAATTTGAAATCCACAGACTGATTACATCATATAGCTGGAAACACAACCACACTTTATAAAAAGGAGCTTAAAGCTTACCTGGATTTCATATAAGTGGGCAATGTGAAACTGAACTGTAAGAGTGGGAAAATCAAAATTATTAGTTTTAATAAATGACAACCACAATCACAATGTTTTTTCAAGTGAAGGATAAACAGCATTTCAAATCCATCAATGCAAAACCAAGGTAAATTACATTTTGAAGATACAAAAAAATTATTTGTTTACATTGATATTTTATGCTTAATATAACAGAACTGTCAGAGAATGAGTATCTATCCTAACAAAGCATTAAGACTGCAATCAGATATTGCAGAAAGGCAGTCCACGGATTTTATTTGTATTCTGAAATGCAGAGCTATTAACCTTTCAGTAACTTAGCAATCAAATCTCCTTAAGCAGAGATGCACAACAAGAAAAGCTGGTAATATTTTCTGTACGTAACTGAGTTACAAATAAAGACTTATTTTTTATTTTCATTCAACTGCCAAGGGACAGCCTAGCTGGGTTACAGAACAGAAAACTACAGTATACACTGACAGATTTATACAAAATCTTAAATTTAGGTATTTTTTTTCCTCTTTCAGAATTGTCCTTCCCTTATTAAATGGAACTAAAAGCCTTAATTACAGATGGTATTCTGATCATTACTGTAAAGCATCTTAAATTCCACATACGAATTGCACAGAATGCTGTAATACTACTAGCAGCTCTCGGAGGCAAGAAAATTGCTAGTTGAAGAAAGAAAATGAAATCTCTGGGAATGATGAAAGCAGAGGGAAAATTATCCTCATGCTGCTGAAATTATTAAAGAAAAGGTGGAGTGCCTGATCTCTATGGCTTGAGAACTGCTAACCTAGACTAGCCATCAACTGGTAGATAGCTAGAGCTAGTTGAGATAAATGCAATCCTTATTCTGATTTGATGAGAAAGGAAAAATTCCTTTGAGACAGACTTTTGCCTGATGTTCTCAAGGACCACAAGTAAAAAATTATGTGTTTGAGCCAAGCTCAGTTGTTTCTGTTACACAGATTTCTTTCTCTTGAAGCTACAAGGGGTTCACACAGGTAATTTGGAGTTCCAGGGTTTCTCTATGGGTCACAAGGGAGGGGAAAAGCTCCCTTTGTGCACTGTTTTTTCCTTCATTATAAACAAGGTAGCCTAGTGCACTTCAGAAACCAGGTCATAATGAAATGCATCATCTAAAACTTTAATAATTTTTTTGTGTTCCTTGCTAAAGGGCACATAACACACCCATTATGTTCACCATATCATCAAACTCCACTCTGTACTGATGGAAAGAAAAACCTCTGCTTTTGTTTTGGGAGTTCATTATCTAAAAAAAAAAAAAATCCCCTCAGAGCAAAGCCCCTTCAGTGTGAAAATACAAAAGGAAGCCATGCCATACAGGGGAAAAAAATTAAAGGTGTCACATTAGAGACTGCCTAAATAGAAAGATGTGCTTAGTACTCAAACATTTCTGCTAGAAGCACACTCAATATAATGCTGTTACTCACCCAGCCTTTAGAAATGAAAGGGGTAGGATTAAGGTGATCTCTACATGACAGTACCCAACACCCTGAGTCAGAGTGCAAGGTTCTCCTTCAACTACAGGAGAACCTACCAAAGTATCTCTCGTTCCTCTTCACTGGCTACCTTTGGGTTTGTCAGGCACCGTGTCCAAGGCCATAGGGCAATGAAGCCTCCATATGGGGCTGTACATCTACATAAATCTGGGGGCAGAGGGGACTGTGGGCAAAGGGTTAGGAAAACCTTACAAAAATTCAGAGATACAATGAAAACCGAATATAAACTAACATGCAAATAATAAAGAATCACATATCTGGGAGAAAACAATAAAAGCCTATTGACTTAGGAAGAATTTTGCAAGTAATTTTACAAAATTAGCTGTGCCTGCTCCTGATCAGTGACAAAGCTTTAGAGAAGACCTTGTAGCACAGCTGGCTCCTTAGCACTGATACAGACAGCAGTTTCACTCATTTAAACAAACCCCCTTTCATTACTCTTGCTGATAGAATATTCACAATTTCATCCAGCTCTGAATTAAGGAACGACAAAAATGCTTTTAAATACTTTATCCAGTGCTTCTGAAGTTAGACTTAGGAGGTAACTCAAGCTCAACACCAAGAGCAGCATGAAGGTCCTTTAAAAACTGAGGGAGTTATTTCATTCATTCATTTCAACTGTCTGTCTTTTAATTCTTACAAATGCCAAAACATGCAGTAACATATGTTTATTCCTGCATACAAATCCACTAACTATGGATAAATACCTGCAGGATGCTCTGTAACAGCCTACAGTATATACTGCATATGATAGATCATATTTCACTACAAGATTCACGTGTTAAAGTACAGACTAATATATAGCTGGCACCTAATAAAACAAATAATCAAATTTCATTTTGTACTTTTTCTTACTTCAACAGCATAAGGGTGATGCTGAGTTTTAGATCTATAAATGGCATTAAAATGATTGCTGAAAAATGACAGATTACCAAGGCACCACAAAGTTTTAAATAATTACTATTAAATGTGTGCCATGGCACAAGCACTATTTTTACAAATACATAAATAAGTAAATAAATAAACAATCAAATGGTACATTTCCTCCAGAACTCAAGTCTTCAGAGGAATTAATAAGCTAAGTCTCAATTTTTACTTATTCCATTTACTAAAGCAATCCATAATTCCACTGGAATATCTGTCTCAATATTAACAGATGGAGACAGGTTTTGTAGTCTCCCTCTCTCAGTACTCATTGTTTTGATTTTGAAGGATTGGATCATTAAAAATTGATACAGTTGTGAGCATAAGACAAAAAAAAATCTGAAACAAAATAAATTGAAATACTAATAGGTTACTTACTTTCAGCGTTAGACAAAGTGCAGGGATTGCAGTCGATCAAAGCTAACTGAAAATGCTGAAAAAAAAAAGAATTATTTGCTTTTCAAACAAAGTAATGCTAGCACTTCGGCAAATTACTAAGAATAAATCAATTTTGTACTTGAAAAATCAATACCGCATTTGATCATGTGCCTTAAAGAAAATTTTCCATTTCTTTTCAACTGTTTACTAAACGAAAGTTTTTTATTGCAGAATCAGCAATGCTTCTAGTAATGTCAGATGGCAACAGATATCTTCACAAAATAATTGAGATAGCATCTGGAAGAATGATTTGACCATCAAATGAACAGTTAAAATGGGAAGATCAAATTTTCCTCAGAATGTAGTCATATAGCTCATGGAGATAAATATCAAGCTCTCAATTTTTCTATCTAGAAAAATAAAATGTTCTTCCTTCAGATTGAGTGATTTGAAGTCTTTTTAAAAAATTGATCTCTCGTGAAAAATCACTTAAAATGAATACCTTTACATTAAAACATGGGTTCATACAGAGTTCATATGTTCTTACATCCTATCCTCCAGATATTAAGATAACTTCAGTTAAACATTAAAGCTTGTTTATTTTTATTAACTTTTCCTCAAAAGATACAAAAAATATCTTTCAAAACATCTTTGCATTCTGAAGTTCTGAGCCAAGTATTTCATTCTTCTAGAAAGAAGGTCACACAAGCAGAGAAATAAAGTCTGTCTGCCAGAAAGCCTGGATGTGACCAATCATTTCACAAGTGTCATGCTAATTAGCAATCACTATTTACAGTTTGAAACGCAACCAAGTGTGTTAAACACAGGCATACAAACTCAAGTGCCTCTGAACTTTTCCATAAACTTCAGAAAATTCCTAATATGTATAGAATTTGGAATAACATATTGATTCAATAGAGAATAAGGCCTAGGAATATAGGAACCTAAGAGGTAGCATGTAAAATATTCCTGTTAATAAATACAGTTATCTACAAAATACAGTTTCAGGTGGCTTCTAATACACAAAATATTACTGATATTTTATTTTGCTAACACAAAAATCATAATTTAGTTCCAGCCGTTAGGATGCCAAACTAACTGGCATTAGGAGCTTATTAGTGTATCTGTGAAGAAAAAAAAATAATCCTTACTAATGGATGCATATGCAACTCGCTTTCAGTATTGTCATACTCAGAGCTACACAACTTTCCTCATGGTGCTAATAATATCTCATGTATAGTATGTCTATATAACACAAACCTCAAAGATTTATATGAAGAGTTTAACAGATCACCACATTTCTAAATAAACATTGTAAACAGAAAAATTATTAGAAAATTACTGTATTATGCATAGCAAAGCATAAAAAAGAATGCTCTCATGAGCTCTGCGAGGCACACAGTGATGCAGCTTACATCCTCACTGACTTCTATCAACATCATTTGTAATATATAACAGCTTTTAAAAAATGAAACAAGCTCGAGTGATAACACAAATCTATGATTTTTAATGAACATTTTAGCAATATCTTTCCCAGAAAAGAGAACAGAAAACAATGTACTCTTATATACATTACTTGTAAAATAACTTTTTAACCTTAGAGCAAGAATTAAATAATAGCTTATACATATTAAATATCAGCTTTTTTCTCTGCCTTGCCTGTTCTTTCCTCTACTGTTCAGCAGTCAGACAACTTAAAATCTCCCCTCACTTACATTGCAATGCAGGTTGTGTGCCTCAGAGACATCCGTTAGTCGGTTACCATAGTGATTCTACTAAGCAGGCAACTTAAAAAAGACTAAATAAAAATAAAATACTTTTTTTTGCATTTTGCCTGACAAAAGAAAAAAAGGAACAGACCTATATGCTTTGGCCTGTACATCGAGTATACAGATTTAAATGGTACAAAATCCTTTTTGCACAGATGTGTCATCTTGCACTGTCACTAACAATTAATATGAAAAGATAAAGCAGAAAGGCAGAGATTTGCTTTCGCCTAGCAATGTTTTTATAGAAAATAAGCAGATCTAAAGAGAAACGATTGACAACTGTTCCGTAGTAGCTTTTCAGAAGGGTTATTGCAGTAAGACTCACGGAGATAAAGCAGACAACCATATAAAAAAATTTAAACATTTTAATATTTAAATATGCCAGCAGTATCAGTGCTGTACAGTAAAATAAAACAACCAACAGGAATATTCTCAGCGATGCCTCCTAAAAATTTAAATTCTTACTGCTACATTAGCTGACTTTTAAATTTCAAAATCCACATTATGAAAATTTTCTGTGTAGTAAATTTCTGCTTGCACTGCTCACTAAGCTACAAACAGTAAAGAAATTGATAAACCGGAACCTGTAACTACAGCAAAACAAACCATTTGCACTAAACAATTATCGCAAAGCAATACACAGAAAGCTCAGAATCTTTCAAACCGAGAACCTTAGAAATGCACATACACGAGCAAACCTACACCTCTCACCAGATAAATAATACATAGCTCCCCGTTCAGTATTCAAAATCAAGACAAAAAAAAAAAGCATGCATGCATTCTAACATATAAACCTCATCAGCCAAAAGCAGATCCACTAATAACAATTACCAGCACCAAAAAATTAAAAGAAAAAATAAAATAGTAACAATTTCCAACTTCCATTTCTGCAACAAACAGAAGCGGCTAGCAAACATCTGCACCTCTCTCAAATATTGCAGTACTGAAGCTGGCTACTGCTGTGTGAAATAGTTATTATGCAGGAGAGGCCGCTGCAGTTCAGAGACGACATACAATACCTCAAGGCAGACAGCAGTCTATAGAAATTCAAATCCCGAGTAAGAGGATTTACCTAGAAGGCAGTGTTCTGAATGCTAAAAAGTAACAGGCTCTCTTCAAGAGCTGCAGCTCAAGTCACAGTATACCTTGATTTGTAGCCATCTGTAATTACACAATTATCTACAGCCTATTTTGTCTCCTCTGGAGTCCTTGACTTGCCTCTGATTGTGGAAACAATTTCGAAGGTAACCTTTCCAAGGATCAGAAGTAAGGTGCATTGAATATAAACAGAACTAATGAAAGCATTAAGTCTGGTAGTAAAATAATAGCAATCTGACCCCGGTTTAGGTAACTTAATATGTTTTCACGACCACAACTAACTTCAGTTCTCCTAACAAATTAGTCCTTTACAATTTAAGGGGCAAGCGCCCAGGTTTTTGTTGTTTATTTAATCAATAAGTGACCAATACAAAAAAAAGAACCATTTTCTTCTTAGTGCAAGATTTTCAGCACTGTCTCTGTTTACATCCAAGCTTGAGACCTCAAAATAGTGACTCTACTCCCTCCTCCTCTGGAGGATGACATTAGCAAGTTTAATAGCTCCCCATTCTGCATTTATTTAGCAAGCAAGGCAAGCCATCACTTGAAACCTGACGACTCTCCCACAGACTTACCATGAAGGAAAGCTCCATCATGACTCAGTAAAATTCTGTCAGGAGATGGCTGTTCCTGCCTAGGTGACCTAGGTGTGATGATGGCTGTGCTCCTCAGAGCAGCCCTTTGTTCAGAGAAGTAGGGCACAGAAGGCCTTGCATAACCCGCCGGTGGCAGGGCGCCAGGCCTCCATTTGCCAGGCCCGCCTGGGGCCATGGGGGGAGAGAGAGAGAGAGGGGTCAGGAGAGGACGTGCTGTATGTGCCGCTGCCTCAGCTCATGGCTCCACGCTACAGCCAATTCATCTTCTGAAACGAAGGTCTGCGCAGGCTAAACACTCCCTTACTTTTGTCCAACAGTCAAAAAAAAAAAAATCCCCCAAAACCAACAAACAACCCTTAAGACTGAGGAAAACTGTTACACGGACAGGGCGGAAGGCGGCTGCTTGAGGAGAGAAGAAACAAAGGCCACATATACACATAAACTGAATAACTGCAGTATGTTCCGAAGAATCTCGTCCTGACTAGCTGTAAGTGAAAAGCTCTTTTCAAACAGAAAGATCCGAAAAGCTGTATTTGCACTAGCCAGAAGGCAGCTGCATTTGAATTTGCCGACCAACACCTTATATAGCACACCACAGTGATTTTCACAAATCTCGACGCTCACGTTTGCCTGTACATTTTATCGTTATTTGTGCAACATCAGAGTTTAGCTAGGGGTTAGCAGTCCCAAGGCCTGCCAGCAGCAATGAAGCACCATGGGAAGAGGGGGTCAAGTGAGAAGCTTGTCCCCACTGCTGCACCACCAACACCACCAGGGAGCTACACCACCCCGAGCTGGGGTGGCTTCAGGACCTGCAGGTCTCTGCCTCACAGTACAATCCTCGACAGCTACCTGTGGCTACCAAGCCAGTATACATAGCTAGCTACTGCTGCCTGCCCCCAATGCCAACCTATCATAGAATCATAGAATCGTCTAGGTTGGAAGAGACCCTTGGGATCATCGAGTCCAACCATCTACCCTACTCTACAAAGTCCTCCCCTACACCATGTCCCTTAGCACTGCATCTAAACGGCCCTTAAACACAGCCAGGGATGGTGACTCCACCACCTCCCTGGGCAGCCTGTTCCAATGCCCTATCACTCTTTCGGTGAAAAATTCTTTCCTAATGTTCAATCTAAACCTACCCTGTTGGAGCTTGAAGCCATTCCCTCTCGTTCTGTCAGTTACAGTTACAGCTAATTAACCTGAACCAAGATACCTCTCTCGCGAGGAGAAGGTCCACAAATGACGTTAAGTGTACCAGGACCAATCCTCGTTAGCTTGAACACTCAACTGTTTCTCCTCTCAGGGTTTGTTCTATTTTACCCCCAAAATGACAGAAGACACCACACAGTATGTTAAATTCAACGACAGCATTTACTCCTCTTTGTAATCATAACCTTTCTAAAATACATCTACACATCTACAGTCTTCTTTTCTAGGAAAACTCCAAAATGACTCAAAAACCCAAGCAAAACTAAGAATAACAAAAGAAAATACTCTGTAGTCCAGACATTGTGATACCATGACCCACTGTCAAAACCAGTTGCGCTAATAACTCTCTTGCAGTTTGATGATGGTGCCATGCTGTG